CCGGTTTAAAAAAAAAAAAAAAAAAAAAAAAAAAACAATTTTTTTTTTGTCAAATGATGGACTGCCACCTCACTGGGGGTCGACCCCCAGTGGATGTATGAGGCATTTTTCTTGTTAATATTACATTATAAAAGAAGGTGAGAAGGGGATGGAGGTCTGAACCCGCGCTAGTACCATTATTGAGTTTCTATTCCATATTTCTATAGAAAAGCACATTTTATTGACTTGACCAGCAAAGATTCTTTAGTGGAAAGCCTTGTTTAATTTTGGTATAAAATTTTAAAAATATGTTACAGCTTAATTTGTTTATTTTACGAGAGAACTTAAACAAGTTTTATATTGAGTCAATTAGGGTGTTTGTTGTGCACTTAGCACAACAGGCATTGCTGTGTGACTCAATAGGCTTATGTCAGAGTCTATTTTGATAATTAAAATCATTCACATTTTAGAGCATATCGAGTAGAGTATACTTGTAAAAAATTAAGTTAATTGGATATCGTTAACTCTGTTATCCACTCATATTGTATCTTCAAAAATATATGGCATTATGATTTAAAGTATTAAAATAAATACAAATGTGAGCGGATGAAAGAGTTAACGATATCCGATTAGTTTCATTTTTTACAAATATGTTTTACTCGATATATTTTAAAATGTGAATAATTCAGATTATCAAAACGAACTCCAAAATAAGCTCATAAAGCCGCACAACAGTGCCTACTGTGCACTCACTCCCCCCAACACACACACATACTAACCCCCTATCATTGTAATTATTTAGACGAATTGAAAATATTAAACTCATGCACCCTCTTTTCTTTTGTTTTACTTTACTTCCTTTTTTTTCTTTTCATTTCATTTGCTTTATTTATTTATTTTTTCAATGTAATTTCCTTTATTTTTTTTTATTAAGAGTTTTTGTCTTTTATATAACATTACAAAAAATTAAGGTTTTACACTTTAAAATTTAGGGACAAAATTATTTTTTAAAGACTAAATATTTTTATTGCGAAAAGTGTTATTATTATATTTTTAGTAACGAAAATTGAACATTAATGATGCATTACTATCCTTTAGGACCCGTGATGACCCCCACGGGCCGAACAAAACTGTCCAGTGCAGTACCTAAAAAGTAGTCAATCATTTCTTAGCCTCAATTGAACTACCCAGAAAGTACGGTTGCACAACTCCCAATCATAATATTTCCTTACACACTAATTTATATATTTTTTTAATACACATTTTTTCATAAAAAATCAAAAAATTAATTCAAACATCTATATTTTTTTCTTCAATTTTTTAATCTAAAAAAATAAAAAATACACTTAATATTATCATACATATATATATATATATAATTTAATTAGTATTATCACATATATTTATTTTGTTGGCAACGTCTCTCTTAGAGACATGAATGTGGGTGGTAATGGCTCACATGCCACTTTTATCTGAGTGGGGTAGTTGGTTTGGGGTTATAACAGTGGTGGTAGTGGCTCATATGTCACTTTTATGTGAGTGGGGTAGTTGGTTTGGGGTCATAACTGCCTAAGTGGATGATGCGGCAGATAATAGGACATTCCATAACTTTCCACTCTCTTGAATTGAACCCGGATCCTCACCTTAATTTTCTTACTTAATTTTTTACTTGCCAGACTATTGGGCCTACTTTTAGACCCAATTTCGATGATCTGAATCGTTCATATTTTAAAATTTATTGAGTGTATCATACTTGTAAAAAATCAAGTTAATCGGATATCAGAAAGTATGTGTTCGAAAAATTGTTTATTAAATTTTTTTTAAAAATGATTTTTAGTTAGATGATCCGAACACATAGTTTCTGATATCCAATTAACTTGATTTTTTTTAGGTATGATATATTTAATAAATCTTAAAATGATAACGGTTCAGATCATCAAAATTTTAGGCCCAATAATCCAATAAATAGGGAGTCAAAGAAAAAAATTAAGAAAAAGATCTTAATTCGAATCGGATTGAAATTACCTAAGTGGATGATGTGGCGGATAATAGGACATTCCATAACTTTCCGCTCTCTTAAAATTACCTTGATGGGAGGTAGTTTATAAATAGAAGTGAGATCAAATTATGGTCCCTAGTCTAACATAGTCTTCGTTTTGAATGTAAGTTAGTTTTTTAATTTTTTAATTTCTTTTAGTTTGGAATTAAAAAGTTTCATTTGGAATAATTTTTTTTTATTTTTTAAATTTTTGTGAGAGAAAAAAATAAAATAATTATGATTTAGATATGACATTTTATCTTATTAGACTAAAAAATTTATTTTATCTTTGTGTAGCTAAAATAGTCCCGCCCCGCCTCACCCCAAACCTTACCTTTATGCCAAATGGACCCATATACGTCTATGATTTTTTCATCAAGTCTCGTATATATAGATAGATTTGTTTAGACTAGAATACTAGTCTTCACTTGAAAACCAAATATAGAAAAACTGAGTGAGTGCTCTTCGAGTTTTACTTTGAACCAGATTCTAGACAACAACAATTACACTTGAACAACACGGCTGGAGGTAATTCTTAAACTTTCCCTTGTCTTAAATTATTTTATTTACGTGTTAGAATTTTTCTAACATATTTATGTTAGAGGAGATGTCTATGCAGGGATGGTACTCAAAGAAGATTATTTATTTTTTTGGGGGGAGGGGGTTGGGGGTGCATGGCTCCTATTCTTTTGTGACGGATACTGTTTGTTTCAACAAAACTTATATATCTTACTCTTCTCCGACCATGCATTCTCTTTTTATTTTACACAAAAAAAAAATTTCTTCATACAATATCAAATTACTTCCATAGTGTTTGATTTATTTTTATTTTTTGTGTGTATATATAACTTGTATATCATGTTATACACTACAAAAATTTCTGTTTTTTGTGACGGCACGGTGCTGTCACTAATACTCTTCATGCCGTCTCAAAAAAATTTTAGCGACGGCAAATGACTTTTAACGACGACAAATGGGGGCTCACAACAGAGGGCGTTGCAAAAAACTTTTAGCGACGACAATAATTACCTTTCGTGACAGCAATTTGCTGTCGACTATAATATGTAAAAAAGTCAGACTTTTTGCGACGGCACCGTTTTACCATCGCTAAAAGTTTTATTTGAAACGGTTGAAAATACTGTCGCAAATGGTTCAATTTTTTTGCGACGGCATGCCCATTGTCGCTAATGATCCTAATATTTTTTGCAACGGTATGGTGCCGTCGCAAAAAAAAAAAAAAAAAAAAAAAAAAAAAACTGCAATATAATTTTTAAAATTACCTATTTTTTGCGACAGCGTGGTGCCGTCGCAATAAATAAATAAATAAATGTAATATAATTATTAAAAATATTAAAATTACCTATTTTTTGTGACGTGTGGTGCCGTCGAAAAAAAAAACACTATGATAAAATTATTAAAAATATTAAAATTACCTGTATTAAATGAAAAACAATTGAAAAAGAAATCAATAATTGCATAATAATATAAAAATTCCTGTATAAAAAAATAATTTCTCCATAATAAAAATATTCTTGCATTCATAACTACACATTAACAAAATTATCCCACTACATAATGTTTCATAATACATATATAATGTTTAAATATATAATGTTCTTCATAATTCAAAATAACATAAACCAAAATTACAAGTTTTGCTCATCATTCTCCATGGGCAACAAAAACAAAAATTAGTCGCATTCTTCACAGACATGCATTCCACAAGAAGCAAAACTCCTACTCGAGAAATATCTGAAAACAAAAAATAAATATAATTAATGACAATATAATTATGTGTTAATATGTTAATTACAAAAAAACATAAAAATGTAACTACTATACAATTACAAAGATAATTAAGTAAATAATTTTGCCTAGACCGAAATCCGGCTCTAACTCCCAAACCAGGAACCCGATTCGAGTCCCGTCTTCTCCCACAAGTCTCTCATACCTAGGTGGTCATGTGTGCCAAGTTTTGTGCTACTCCGACACCGTTTGGTGATTTTCGTGATTTTGGGACGTCAACCCCTCATATTTTTCATGGCATAATTTTACATGCCGTAGAAGGTTATTTTTAATATATTTATGACATACTATGTATGCCGTATATAATCTTTTACAACATAGAGAGAGAGAGAGAGAGAGAGAGAGAGAGAGAGAGAGAAGCATGTTCAAAGTTCATTACATGAGTAAACTCAATATATAAACACATGATATTCAAAGCATATTCAACATATGTAGCTCGGCCAAATGACGCATTTTCTTCAAAAGGGCATAAGAAGCAAGATTAAATTATCATTGTTGATTTCCTCCAAGTAAAAAACTTATCATTTATAATAAGAAAACAAACATACAAAGTGCATACTTGGAAGAACCACCAATAAGATCAGTTCCATGTAGAATACAATCAATTTATTTCATGTCTATTATGAAAATATATCCAATCAATTTACACAACAAACAGATTATATTACTCAATTTATCTGACTATCCAACTTCTCATAGCATGAAACATCCTTGCATTTTGGTGTTAAATCATCTTCACAAATGTGTATGTACAAACATTGCTTCCATATATATCGGGATGATTCACAAAGCAATAAATCTGAACTAGGTGCATTTGTTGATCACCCTATATCCTGATAGAAGTGAATCAGATGGAGGATGAGGACCAACTGATCAAGCTTTTGGATAAAAAATTTACAATTGAAAAATAATGTATTTAAATTGATTTTCTTAATAATCTTAATCCATAACTGGTGGGATTTCCATCTTTGTAATCTGTTGATGACAAAATTTAATGTGCATCAGATTACCGAAGTTACTATTTGAAACTGAATATAACACATGCCTCCATGAAGATTCAAAGCTCTGTTGGAAATAGTTGGCACAATTTTTTCATTACTCCACAGCTTGGCATATATCACTCAGTGACGGAGCAAAGAGGTAGTCTCTTGGTGGAAGCACCAAATGATTAATACTATAAGCCTATAACAAATTACCATAATCAGAAATAAATGGAAGAGCTCGGTGAATAACTTGCACTACAGTGAAATATGGCTGAATGATGTCAATAAACATGGTGTTAAAAAAATATGACGTAAAATAGTTTATGCATTTCAATAACATTCACATGTTGGACCACTAATCAAAAAAATAAAACATAAATAAAAACCATCTCCCTCAGACTTATTTGGTAAAGCTCACATTCCAACAAATCAGAAATACCCAACAAGTTTCTAGATGGAGTGAAAAGTCAAAAAGAATTACTTTCTCAAATAAGTCTGGGAATGAATGCACTTCAGAAGCAACCTTTAATTATTGCACTTAGTAAAATAAATGGATACACTTTAGATAACAAAGCTACAACTCACTAGGGGTGTCCTTAGATGAAATCATGATTACCTAAATAAATCACCATAAAACTACAACTCACCAGTTTTTTAACCCCCAAAATCAAAGTAAACCCCAAATGCACCATCAAGAACGCACAAATCACTACTAAACAAACTAGCAATTATAAATTTATATATACTAACCAAGACAAACAGGGCAAGTAGGCAATTCAACAAATCTGGGCAGAGGTGAACAGGCTTCTTCTGCCAACTCATAGCTCTCTGCTGATTGAGCAAAATATATATGACAGACCTCAGCCTAACAAATCAAGCATAAAAATCTCAAATTAAAAATACAAGTAAAAGATAGCATTAAACCTTTTAAATCTAACTAATATATATACTACTATATAATGCGCACAACTTATAAGGGTTTGAAGGTTTGTAACTTTTTTTTCCCCCCAAAAAACGCTCAATATTGTTAACTGCTTCAAAAAATAACTGCTACCATTTATCAAATTCAACCCATATTCTTCATGCATCAAATCATCAAAAAATTAGAATGTAAAATTGCAATGAAATTACAAACACATACTAATATATAAAGCATATTACTCATAAGGATTTAAATTCAAAAATACCCATATTATTAACTTTTTCAAAAAAAAAAATTAACAACTAGCCATTCTCAAATTCAACTCATCTTCATTCACCAAATCATCAAAAAAATAAAAATTGAAGAGCTTGGGGGTGGATACCGGAGTAGAGTTCGGAGAAGTGGTCGAGGTGAGATCCACAAAAGAGGAGGAAGTCGTCGGGAGAGAGGTAGTTGGGGACAGCGACGACGAAGAGTTTGGTGGATTGAGCGCTAGGGCTCGTGAGAGATGTGGTAGAGGAGGGGGATTGGCAGCGGATAAGGTGGACTATGCCATTGAGTTCGGTTATGGAGAGGTGGTTGCTAGGCTTTGCGGCAGAGCTGCTGGTAATGGCGGATGAGGAGAAGGGGCGGCGCGTGTCAATGAGTGGATTTAGAGGATGAACATTCTTAGGGTTAGGATTAATGGCCTACATGTAGAGATTGACATTCGTAGAGTGAATCAATCAATGAACCCTTACTGCGAAGGATCTAGAAATATAATAAAATGAATCAAACAGAGGTGAATCGATGATGAGCACTTACCACAAAGGATTGATCGATGTTATCGTTGAGAGAGATACAGGGATGAAGAGAGAGAGAGAGAGAGAGAGATATTTTTGGTTGAAAAGATTAGGGATTTGAGATTTGGGGATTTTTGGTTGAGGGGGAAAAACTAGCGCAAATCAGATTTTGAGTTTTTTTTTTCCTTTTTTTTTTCCCGACGTCAAGTATAATCGTCACAAATGAAAAATTTAAGGTAGTATTTGGTAACGTTTACATTCTTGGTTTATGCTTACAAAAAATTTATAAACTGATTTTTGTTTATTTTTAGAAAAACATAAATTACAAACGCGTTTGGTTTGAACAAAATGTTTAAATTTTTTTAAAAATATCAACTAAAAAACATGTTTGTCCAGTTCTAAAATATTTATATTTATTTTTTTATTATTTATGACAATAGGATCATACACATCATAATCGAAAAAAAAAATGATTGGAAAAAAATTAATTGAAAAAAATTTAATGAAAAAAAAATATTTGAAAAAAAAATTAATTAAAAAAAATTTTGTTAGTCAAATTTTTAAATTTCTGTTTAAAAACCAACGTAAACTCATTTTTTGAGTTTACAATTTTTCTTCAAATTTATAAATTGAGACAACCATTTATAAACTAAAAAAATTATCAAACAACTTTTTATGAGATTTTGTAAATTTTCGTAAATATAAACTGAAAATTGAAAACGAAATGGTTACCAAACAGGCCCTAAACAATGAATCCATGGCTCGTTTAGTAATTTTTGTTATTTGCGACGGGGGTATTGTAGTCGTCGATAACTTGTATTTGCAATGGGGGAAGGTTGTCGTAGTAAAAAAAAAAAAAACTCATTTTTTTGCCAAAAAACTCTATGTCCATTTTGCTATGCAATGAAAGCTAGGAATAGAGAAACAGAAAATGTGAGAGAAACAAGAGATGATCAGCGAGAGAAAAAAAGAGAAAGAAAAATAGATGAACGAGAGAGATATAAAGAGAGACATAAAAAAAAAGAGATGAGAGATGAGCAAGAGAGATGAGAGAGATAGAGAAGAGAGATGAGTGAGAGTGAGAGAAATAGAGAAGAAAGATGAATGAGAGATACAGAGACAAAGAGAGAGAGAGACCCATTTCATTTTTTGACTTTTTTCTCTTTCAACAACAATGGGCTCAAAGAAAAAGATAAGTGTGATTGAGAGAGAAGAGAGATAGTGAAAAAGAGAGAAAGATAGAAAAAAAAGAGAAACAAGATGAGCGAGAGAGAGAGAGAGTGAGAAGAAGATGAGCAAGAGAGATGCGAGAGCTAGAGAGAAGGGTGATGAGTGAGAGAGACATACAGAGAGAGAGAGAGAAAAAAAAAGAAAAACAAGATGAGCGAGACATAGACAGAGAGAGAGAGAGAGAGAGACAACAAAAAGAGATGAACAAGAGATAGAGAGAGACATAGAAAGAAAGAGAGAGAGAGAAAAAAAAAAAAAGAGATCGATAAATCGAGAGGGAGATCGGTAAATCGAAAAGAAGGAAGAGAGGGAGTGAGCAACGCGAGCACAATGTGGGAGAGAGAGAGAGAAACCGAGAGACAAAAAGTGATGAGTGAGAGAGAGAAAGAGAAGAGAGATGAGCAAAAGAGAGAGACAGAGAGATAGAGAGAGACAGAGAGACATGAAGATGAAAAAATGGGTGAAATACTACAAAAATTTCAATTTTTTTGGGTCGCTAATACTTCTAATGTCGTCTCATCAAAACAGTCTTTTTTTTTTTTTGGGTTTGCGACTGCAGTTCATGCCGTCACAAAAAACAACTTTGTTTGTGTTTTTTTTTTTTTTTTTTTTGCAACGGCATCTGTTACCGTCACAAAAAACTCTCTTATTTGCGGCTGCAGTTCATGCTGTCGCAAAAAACAGCTTTACGCAAAAAAATGCTCATTATTTGCGACAGCAATTGTTACCATCGCAAAAAAGTGACTTCTTTGTGACAGGAAGTGGTACCGTCGCTAAAAACCCATTTATTGGCAACGGCAAGTGGTGCCGTCGCAAATGCTTCCGTGTTATAAAGTCCATTTTCTTGTACTGATTCTAATTTGTCTATTGAGTTAGTCAATTTCGATTTTTGAATCCGTTAAAGCTTCCAATTTCTAATTCAAAGTAAGCAATTAAATAGATATTCCATAAATAAATACATAAGCACAAAATTAACACATAATTACGCAAATTTTTTTAATAAAATAATATATATAAATGATATACACATTGGGTCGTCATAAAAATTTGTTGAAATGAATCCTTTTTTTTTTTTTTTTTTTACAATAAACTTATAATTATCTAAAAGATATAGACTGAGGATGATAAACGGACTGTTTCACACAATTGATGATGGTGGACACAACCAAGAGGCTATTCGGTGGTTGTTGAATTGTTGCTTTACATGGTAGCGACTCAAAATTTTGTAAGATTTTAAACTAAACATTAAAATGAAACATTTTTTTGTGTCTTTGAAAATTTAGAGCTATTAACAATAAGAACCTTTTTTTTTTTTATATATATTTAATTTGGGAGTCTTAAGCAATAGATTAAGTGATCTTATGGTTGACTCATCTTTGACTCCATATTATTCAATTTTCAACATGTGTCTTGTTATCCTCCAAAAATAAACATAAAAATAATGAGTCTCACCAGTTTAACCAATAAAAAACAAGTTAAGATACGTTTGCCCCAATCCATGGTATAATTTTCCCTGAACCGGTGACAACTTCAAAATATGGCGTTGTAATTTTAAATATTGTGCCGTAATTTTATTGATAAAAAATGTGCAAATTTTGGAGATGTGAGGAATAGCAAAGCTTAATGCTCAGTTGATTTTAAATTAAAAAAATTTCCATGTTTCCCCTTGATTTGCTATTATTATCATGAACATTGTCATTTGTAAATCACTGAATTGCATTCTACAAAAATTTGTAGAGATTATATTTGTTCGTGCAAAACTATGTTAGATGTTGTTTAATAAAATTAAAATTAAAAATTAACTACTGAAAATTAAATGCTGAATTTTTAAGTTGAAAAGTTATTTCCTAAAAATTATTGAACTAATAAATTATTTAATATGTAGAAGATAAAATATAAAATTTATATTTTAATTTTTTTTTCTTCAAATTATTATATAAAGCAGAAGTAAAGAGGTGTAATGGTGGTAACAGTATTATTATCGACTAAAAGTTCATTTATAAATTGATATTTTTAATGATTTTTTAATTTTTATATAAATGCATGCAAAAAAAACCCTTGAGCAGCAGCCTCCAAACCTTCCACAGCACTTTCACGAGGCTTTGTTTTCCTTTTCCTTTTTTTTTTCTTTTGTTTTTCGTCTTTTACATAAAGGGATATTAACCTAATTTCTTAAAATTACTAAATTATCCATACAAATTAATTTAACTACTACTTTATCCAAAAATAATTCTACATAGAACTTGGGTTTTACACAAAGTATGGGTGATAGTTGCAACGATTTTAGTTGTGTAGTGGTGAGATAATGATAGTGATGACAACAATGATGAGGAATAGACCAAAGATTATGTTACTATGAAATACAATCATAATTTGACGTAAATTTTGGAACGAAATGTTTATGAGCAGGAAATTAGCATAATTTTCCTCTTTTACTCTCATTTTCTAATTATGTGCTTGTCACATTACTGACTTCTATTAAAAATTTATATGGTGGAGCAACAAAATGAGAACATTGACACTTAACCAAAACTATAAGGGGTTGACTATTACAATTTCATGTGTAGGGATCAAAGTGAAATTTGATGTAAAGTGCAGGGGTGCAAAGTGTAATTTGCCCATATATAAATTGGGACTTTGAACCTCTCTATTCCATATATGTAATGGAAGATTTCCATGACATATCCAATAACTATGAAATAGGAATGCAATTTTATTATTAGTTTAAATTACAATAGATCATTATATTCACTGTTGGATGATGCAATGGAATCACTTTATTACAAATATGGAATGGAGATGATCACAATTCAATTATAAATTGGACATTGAAATTTATTAATTTTCTCTTATATTATAATACAGTGGGCAGTTTGATAGTCAAAATGTCACGCCCCAAGCTCCGTGACAACGCCACACACTCATTTAAGTGAGCATGCAAGGCTAAGAGTTCAATCATATAACGCCCTCAAAATAATACATATAAACCCAACATTCTTGACATGCATAGACATAAGAGAATAAAACGTATTTCCATTTAGCAGAGTATTAAGTACAAAAGTATTACATGTTGACATCAAAAGTAAATGCCCTACGGGCTTACAACTTTCCAAGTCAACACTTGGTTACAACAAAAGAAGAGTTCTAACTCTTTATACAAAATAAGCCATTGGCTTGATTTACATGTAATACAAAAAGATAATAACAAAAGAGTCTTTCAGCCTCTAGCCTCCCAAGCTACGTCCTTGGAGGTAGCATATCACCTGAACCTGAAAATGATGTCCCATAAAAGGGTGAGCCAAAGCCCAGCAGAGATATACTAAACCAAGCATGAGCAATAACTAAAACATTAGCATTCGATAAATGGTTAACACTATAAACCAATTTTACAACACATCCCAGTTCCATGACAAATACATCTGTGTTTCATTTCACTTTCCTTTACTTATCCAATTCACATTCATAAACCTGGCTCATTATCTAGCCAAACAATTAAA